AAACCTGCCAACAACCATGGCTCAAGTCCTAGACCCAGTGGCTTGAGAATCACACCAGCACACATGTACATGTGCCCAAGATCCTGGGAGGAGAATAAGGAGAAGGGATTGTGGTGTGGCCATCCTCGCTGGAGTGTGATTTCTCACTTTCCCTCTCACTGTCTCTGTCTCTCTCTCTGGCACGTCCACATGCCTTAAGGCAAATACCTCTTTTTAAAATACAATGCTGAGCATATGTACGCAGGCACCCAAAATTCTGAAAGGAGAATGGAGAAGAAGGGAAAGTGGTATGGCCATCCTCCCTAGGGGGATTTCTCATTTTCCCTCTCTCTCTCTTGATCCGTTCCTCTCCAGCAAGTGCACATGCCCTATCGCAAAACTAAATATATATTACATATTTATATATAATTTTTTTTAAAAAAAGAATATTTTCCTTTTAAGTCACATTGCTTTAGTATTTCCTGATAAGCAGAAGTCATTGTTGTTTCTACAACTTACACTACTTTAAATTTACTAAATACACCTGAGTCATTATGGGGAGGAAAAATTATTATTAACAAGTAATACATTCTAGGATTTTGTTCAGAACACTTGGACAGGAGTTGGCAGCCTGTAGCTATTACCCTAATTCAGAGGTGATACCTTAATCGTATGAGCCTCCTAGCAGACATAGCATGTAGCTGTATGTATTGGAAGTTGGTGTGTGTTTCTCTGTATCATTTATTACTGTTCAGAGCCTGTGAAGACAAGGGACAGTGACAAGTGCTAAGTGTTGACATTCCAGTAATTACTTCCCATAATTGTTCTTTGCCAGGTAAACTGCCCATTTAAAGGCAAGAGAATTTCAGAATCCAATCAAGAGTATCCTACAGTGATTTTAGATAATAAACATGCATGTTCTATTAACTAGTGCTCCAGATTTTTTTCTGACTAATTCATCAAAGTCACAGTCTCAAAGACTAAAGTTCTCAAAAGTACCTTCTAATGAGATTCAAGAATTGTTTATTAAACCAAAGATGTACACAAAGCTTCATATTTGCAATGCTAATTGACCTTTCAAAGCTGGTTGACATTTTTTCAGCTCTTTTTAAAAATCATTATGATAGTTCCTTTTTTTTTTTTAAGAATGATCTTATTTAACTTTTTTTATTTATTTTAATTTGACCAGAGTGGGACAGAGAAAGAGAGAGAGGGAAAGCAAGAAAGCTAGCTGTGGTTCAAGGGACTTGAACCACAGTCAGCCATGTGGGAGTCCAGCGCCCCCAACCACCACTCCAGTGATTCATTGTTGTGGGCAAAGACATACACAGCATCATACAAGCTGGCTTCTCCATATTTGCCGTAGCACACATGGCGGGACAAAATCCAAGTCGTTGTACATTTTCTGAATAATTATTGTATACAGGAGGTCTTCAAAAGGTTTACGGAAATGCATAGGAAGAAAAAACTATGCATGGGTCTCAAAAAATTTTTGTACCAGAATAACTCACACTTTTATTTTTTCATAAACATTGTAAAACCCCTATGTATCTAATAACACACGCGTACACAGTGGGTCAAAGATCTGAGCAACGTCCAAAAGTTTTCAAAACTTCAGTCCCTCCCAATCACTGGACTTTTGTCTTACAATCAAGTTCTGCTTCAATTTTAGCGATCTGTTCTGCCTTCATGGGGATTATTTAATGCAAATTTTGTTAC